TTATTTTCAAATCTGTAAGTTGACAGCTATGATTAGAAATTTATAAAATTACGCATGGCATGAAAAAAAGGGGAGTTTTTCCTCCTTCTCGCATAACTCCAGAAGTCATGGACATCCTAGAGCTGGATGCTGGAAGGTTCAGTATTCACTCAGCGCATAGTTAAAACTATGGAACTCGCTGCCACAAGAGACAGTGATGACTATCGACTTGGACGGCTTTAAAAGAGGATTGGAGGCCGCAAATGCTTCTGGAAAGCAGTTGCTGAAAGCCTCAGGAGGAGAAAGGGGTATTGTGTTCCGATCCTGCTTGCGGGTTTCCTACAGACATCTGTCTGGGCCCTGTGAGAACAGGATTCTGGGCTAGATGGGGGCACTGGCCTGATCCAGCAGGCTGTTCTCATCTCCTCATAAGGCTGAAAACACCCTGTCGCAAACACTGGCAGAACACGCCATATTCCATGACGGCAACTTTGGCAAGCGCTTAATGGCAGCCGCAGTGACTCAGCGGCTTATGGTGCCTTTAATGGGTATTTACAAGGCACATCATGAGGTCTCTAAATGCCGTGTTTCAATAAAAAAACATCCTTAATGTGTATTTTCATCTACGCCAGAACAAGGCCAAATGGGCTGTTACTTTTAAAGAGGGTGATTGTGTGTGTTCTAATTTCCACCTCCCCCCCCCCACTAATGTGTTTTGTATGAGGAGCCTGACTGTGAAAGGTTGTTTACTCACAGTTGGCTAAATAATCCTTGTTTCGCTCTCCACGCTCTCATTTATTTAGTCTCATTCAACTCCATAATGTGTGTGTTAAAGGACTCCTCCGGTTGCGCCGCTGTTAACTGCTGAATTCTAATAAAGTCTTGTTTATACTGTTGGCCTGTCCCTTCCATTCAGATCTCTGGCTGTTGCAAGGTCGCGTTCTTCAACCTTGGGTCCCCAGACATTGTTGGATTACAACAACGACAACAACAACAATTGCTATTTTTCCAGAAAACGAAGTGTCGGAACTCACCATGAACACCTCCCTTGTTCTCTTAGAATGGCAATGACACCCCTTTGAGAGGTGCTGGGATTGTGAGTTCTGGCTATAAAAAAAAACCCTGATAAAAAAGGTAAAGGACCCCTGGACGGTTAAGTCCAGTCAAAGGTGACTATGGGGTGCGGCGCTCATATCGCTTTCAGGTTGAGGTAGCTGGCGTTTGCCCTCAGACAGCTTTCCGGGTCATGTGGCCAGCAGGACTAAAGGATTCTGGTGCAATGGAACACTGTGACGGAAACCAGAGCGCACGGAAATGCCATTTACCTTCCTGCTGCAGCGGTACCTATTTATCTACTTGCACTGGTGTGCTTTTGAACTGCTAGGTTGGCAGGAGCTGGGACAGAGCAACAGGAGCTCACTACTTGGCGTTGGTGGGATTCGAACCACCAACCTTCCGATCGGCAAGCCCAAGAGGCTCAGTGGTTTAGACCACAGTGCCACCCTTGTCCCTGATAAAACTCATACTACTACTAATACTAATATATTTATATGCCTCCCATATCACTGGGTTGCCCCAGCCCCTCTGGGCAGCTTCCAACAAATTAAAACATCAAACACAGTAAAACATTATAAAAATTTCCCTATACAGGGCTGCCTTCAGGTGTCTTCTATAAGTCAGATAGTTGTTTATTTCCTTGACATCTGATGGGAGGGTGTTCCACAGGGCAGGCGCCAACACCAAGAAGGCCCTCTGCCTGGTTCCCTGTAACTTCACTTTGCACAGTGAGGGAACCAATCAAATCCTGGTGAATACCTATAAATCACTGAAAAGGGGTGGCTTTTTGCTTCTTCACGTATGTTCATAAAAGGTGAGTCTTATATCAGGGCATCAACAGCACACAAAAACTTATTGCAGTAGGTGAAACTGCTTTGCAGAAATTTGTATATTAGGAAAAAACCAGCCTACAAATGTGTCTCTTAGGAGATATTTGTGCTAAAATGCTGGTGAATATTCTTAAGGACGTTTTAATAGGAAGATGATAGATAGATAGATAGATAGATAGATAGATAGATAGATAGATAGATAGAGATAGATAGCAAACTGCTGTGGAAACATGGAGAACTGTACTTCGGATTGGGAAAAAAATTAGAAACTGAGAGAAACCGAAACTGACAGATTTGTCTATCCTGACTATATATCTATATCTGGATCCCTGACAAGAGCAGCTGATGTTAGAAATGTTGACACAGTTATAACTAGAGCAGCAATTAAAAGCTGGCTTCTAGGGCAGGTAGCATGTTAAGTTTCTCTGTGTAGGAAGAAGAGCGCTGGCGAGGAGGATAAAGTCACCAGGTTTGTTTCCTTGGTGCAGAATCCCCTCAGGCTGATGGGTGAGTGACAGCTTGCTGAAAGGTGGCTGAAGCAAAGGGAGGAGCCGAGGTTCGGTGCTTCTCCTGAAGCTGCTGCTCTTCCTTAGACAAGCTGCAGCCGCCTTCTCAATTCTACATTATTCACTTCTATTCCCCCCCCCACGTTTTCCCCTCGCTGTAAGAAGAGCGCATTATTCCTTCTTCCCTTTATGAGCAGTTTCCAGAATCTGCATGCAGGCCTGTACTTGCTCGGCTTTCACGTACAATTCTTCCACAGCTCCCTGTGGAATGAAATCGGGGAGCTCATCCCTTCACATCCTGCAAAATACAGTGGTACCTCAGGTTACATACGCTTCAGGTTACATACGCTTCAGGTTAAAGACTCCACTAACCCAGAAATAGTGCTTCAGGTTAAGAACTTTGCTTCAGGATGAGAACAGAAATCGTGCTCCAGCGGTGCGACAGCAGCAGGAGGCCCCATTAGCTAAAGTGGTGCTTCAGGTTAAGAACAGTTTCAGGTTAAGTACGGACCTCCGGAACGAATTAAGTACTTAACCTGAGGTACCACTGTAAAGGATTTGACTCTAGTCTTTGCAATCTGGCGTTTATGCAGAAACACTGAAAGGTTTCGGGTGTCTGCATTATACACACCGTAAACTTCAAACACATTTGAAGCGTGACATTTCCCCCCGGAGAATCCTGGGAACAGTTGGTTAAGGTTGGTGGGAATGTAGCGCTGCGAGGGGTGAACTACAGTTCCCAGAATCCTTTGTGGGAGGCCATGCGCTTTAGATGTGTGGGGCGTATGGAGCCTCAGTGTATGTATAAGTGTGTGTTTGTAGGTATTCGTAGAAAATATTGCTTTTGCACATAGATCGACAGCAACAGATCAGAATTCAGAGTTCAGATGTACAATCAAGAGGCATTACAGCAGAGGTTCCCAAACGTTTTCAAGCCATCCTTTCCACCTTGGTTCCATAAATTCATTCCCATAGCCCCCTATCCTATAAAAAGCATTATTCAGAACAGTGGTTTGCACAACCCACCCATTTGAAACCAAAGCAAGGAGTTGCGCATTTATTCAAATCCAGTCAAAACTAGTTTAATTAACTCAACAAAATTGATGAACTTGATCCAGTGATACCAGCTTTTCAGAGAGCCACCGCCTTGCCTTTTAGTGCCCCCCCCAGCACCGCATTACAGTATATTTACCGCATTCTCTGTAGGAAGCAATGTAGGTTATTCTAGGAACATAGAAAGTTGCCTTATCTCAAGTCAGACAATTGGTCCTCCTAGTTCAGTACTGTATGTGCTGCCTGGCAGTGGGTCTGCAGGATTTCAGGCAGGGTTTAGTCCCAGTCATGCTGGGGGTTCAATCTGGTACCTTCTGCTTGCAAGGCAGCAGATAAGTTATTGAGAAGATCAGGGCTCATCTTAGCTGAGGGCAGAGAGAGGTAGGAAACTGTAGAAAACTCTCAGCCTCCCCCCTAAGCTCTGATGCTCTCCAATTTCATACCCTCCAACATTTTGCCAATGAAAATAGGGACGTACTATTCCATCATCATCATCATCATCATCATCATCATCATCATCATCTTTATCTTTATCTTTATACACTGACCATCTGACTGGGTTGCCCCAGCCACTCTAGGCAACTTCCAACTTACATAAAAACATAATAAAACATAAAACATTTTAAAATTCCCTAAAGAGGGCTGCCTTCAGATGTCTTCTAAAGGTTGTGTAGTTACTTATCTCATTGACTCAGAGGAGTGTGTGAGTGTGTGTGCCACATAACTTCATACCCTCCAACATTTCTTGGATGAAAATAGGCATGTCCTAAGGAAAAATGGGACCATTCTGGGATCAAATCAGAAACCTGGATTCTGTAAATCCAAGACTGTTCCTGGAAAACAGGGACACGTGGAGGCGTGTGCCATTTTAACCAGATCACCACACACAATCATTTGGGCACTGGAGACAATTAAGATAACTGTTTTAATCCGATCAATTCATTAATCCAAATAACTAATGAACAGCATTTAATTTATTGTGTGGTGGTGCACACAGGCCAATATAAACAGAGACAAGACTTTGTTTTGGAAAAATGCAAAGGCAAATATTTGTCCCCTACTGTTTGTTTGTTTTTTAAGTGTACCTAGCACGGGGGTGGGGGGGGGTGGGTGGAATGGTGCCCTCCTTCCTCGCCCTTATTTTCCTCTCCCAAGTCTAAAAAAAAAAAGTGTCCTCTTTGCACGACAAGCGGCTTTTTTTTTTGTTTCAAGCGACCCGACATGTATCAGCTGCCAAGTTCAGGGTCCTTTCAGCCTCCCCGCTCGGCTCACGGGTACGGCTGCGCGAAGGCTTCCCGTGCCATCTCGTAAGGTCATTGTGCGACGGGGGCCCAAGGAGCGGGCCGACAGGGTGAAGGCAATTTATAACCCTACATTGTGACATCAATCGAACCTAGCAACCACCTTAGCAACACTGCCAGAGCATGAGCTTCTCTGGTTGCTCTGATGGGGAGATGATAGCGGCATTGTGAGGCCGGCCGCTGCGGCCTAGCAACAAATAGGAGTCTGACCTTGAGTCCCATTGAAAGTCGAGAAGCCAAGCAGAACCGGGTGGGGTGGGGTGGGGGCAAGGAGAGAGAGAATTGGCGGGGGGAGAAATGAAAACGTCAACCCATAAGCTCCCCAGCTTGCTTCTTCCTCTTCTATAGCCTACGCCATTTTCAGGGGTGGCGATGAACAGACGTACATGTGTCCAGATGTGTTTGGATGGGTCAGTCCCAATTTTTTTCTCAGACTCGCCCAAAATTCTTGTCTGCTGCCATTGGTCTGTGGTTCAGTGGGGCTACCTTGGAAGGTGACCCGGAAACTACAATTAATCCAGAATGCAGCAGCTAGACTGGTGACTGGGAGCGGCCGCCGAGACCACATAGCACCGGTCTTGAAAGACCTACACTGGCTCCCAGTACGTTTCCGAGCACAATTCAAAGTGTTGGTGCTGACCTTTAAAGCCCTAAACGGCCTCGGTCCAGTATACCTGAAGGAGCGTCTCCACCTCCATCGTTCTGCCCGGACATTGAGGTCCAGCGCCGAGGGCCTTCTGGCGGTTCCCTCGCTGCGAGAAGCCAAGTTACAGGGAAGCAGGCAGAGGGCCTTCTCAGTGGTGGCACCCGCCCTGTGGAACACCCTCCCACCAGGTGTCAAAGAGAACAACAACTACCAAACTTTTAGAAGACATCTAAAGGCAGCCCTGTTTAGGGAAGCTTTTAATGTTTAATAGGTTGTTGTATTTTAGTGTTTTGTTGGAAGCCACCCAGAGTGGCTGGGGGGACCCAGCCAGATGGGTGGGGTATAAAAAAAAAATTATTATTATTATTATTATTAAGGCATCTTATAAGTCGCATCCTAAAGAAAAATAACTTCGGTAGCCGATTCTGAACGAAGAGGTGGCTAGAAATTGAGCATCTTTTTCTGACATCATCATCATAATCATCAGAATCATAAGAATAATAATTTATTTATATCCTGCCCTCCCCAGCCGAAGCCAGGCTCAGAGCGGCTAACAACAGTAAAAGTAACACAGTTTACATAAAATCACAATTAATTGAAATACATTCTAAAATCAGTTCATTCTAAAATCAATTCTGTTGCATGTCTATCCCACCTTTGTTGCAAGGAGCTCAATATTCTGTGTACAGTGGTACCTCGGGTTACAAACGCTTCAGGTTACAGACTCCGCTAACCCAGAAATAGTGCTTCAGGTTAAGAACTTTGCTTCAGGATGAGAACAGAAATCATGCTCTGGCGGCGCGGCAGCAGCAGGAGGCCCCATTAGCTAAAGTGGTGCTTCAGGTTAAGAACAGTTTCAGGTTAAGAACGGACCTCCGGAACGAATTAAGTACTCAACCCGAGGTACCACTGTATGGTTTTCCCCACTTTATCCTCATTTTACCCTCACAGCAACTCTGCAGTGTAGGTTTGGCTGCAGGATAGGATGGCTGGCCCAAGGTCACCCAGTCACCTTTATGCCTCGGTGGGGAAATTGAATTCTGGTCTCCCAAGTCCTATTCCAGCATTTGAATCACATTGGCTGTCTCAAGCTACTCCTCTGCAATACCTTGAGTTCTGCTAATTCAAAAGTCAATATTGTGCATGTTTGGGGTCAGGGTCGTTCAGATATTGGTTGGCTTCCTACTCCAACGGGCAGGAATGGTGGGAGATGTCGTTCAGCGGTATCTGAAGGGCCACGAGTTCTGACCGAAACCCTCGGCATCTAAACTAGCAAATCTTGCTTAGAGAGTAGGCTTTTCTTGTTGGGCTCACAGATAAACACACACGTGCGCTTGCTGGTAGCAAAGTAATTGAGCTGTTTATTGTAGGATAGAGAAAAATTCGCATTCCAGCCTAGAGGAGGAATAGGACGCCATGCTTGCTCCTTCGTTCTCTCAGAGGATAAAGACGGCGTTCCATACTGAGGTCTGAGAAGTGGGAGGGAGGAGCAAGTTTTATTTTTATTTTTTTAAATGATATTTATTAGAAGTTTAAAGATTACAGAAAAAAGGAAAAAAGACAACAATAATAAAAAAATATTTCCAGAACATACCTTACAATACATAAAAATAAAAACATAGAAAAGCAATACAACAATACCGTAAAAAGAAACAAAAAAACTAAAACACACATCCAATATTCCATATTACCTTTCCTTTACTTGTTTCATCGACCTCCTCACACCTCCCTTTTTTGTATTCTAGTTCAATTCACTATTTCAGCAAATTCTTTCCATCTTTCTCAATTTTTGTTCTATAATTTATCTTAACGGTCTAACCTTAAAGTTTTTCATTTTGGCCCATTATCAATCAGCTTTTACTTAATTCTTTGTTACATTTCTACTAAAACCATATAGCTTCATTCCAGCATCCTTCTAACACTCATTAATTTTACAATGTTTCTGTAAATATACTTTAAATTTTTTCCAATCTTCTTCCACCGACTCTTCTCCCTGGTCTCGGATTCTGCCAGTCATTTCCGCCAGTTCCATGTAGTCCATCAGCTTCATCTGCCATTCTTCCCTGGTGGGTAGATCTTGTGTCTTCCAATGCTTTGCAAGTTTTAAACAGGGTGCAACCTAAGAGGTATCGGTCTAAACAACAAGGAAAACAAGGAAAATAACTACCAAACTTTTAGAAGACGTCTGAAGGCAGCCCTGTTTAGGGAAGCTTTTAATGTTTAATAGGTTATTGTATTTTAGTGTTCTGTTGGAAGCCGCCCAGAGTGGCTGGGGAAACCCTGCCAGATGGGCGGGGTATAAATAAATTATTATTATTATTATTATTATTGGGTAAGAGAAGTAAGCTGATAGGCTAAAGGTACAGGCAGGGGCACCGACCTGCCCCCCACATTGAGGGGGCATGGTGTCACATGATGTCATATTGACGTTATGCGCAATTGGGTTGCCAACCAGGCGCCCCCCAGAGAGATCCCCATTCTTCACCCTTCGGCAGCAGGCGATGGGAAACATGGAGGGTGAATCCGAGACCAGGGAGAAGAGTCGGTGGAAGAAGATTGGAAGAAATTTAAAGACTATTTACAGAAATATTGCAAAATTAATGAATGTTAGAATGATGTCAGAATGAAGTTAAGTGGTTTTAGCAGCAATGTCATAAAGGTGTATGTAAAAATGGATTGTTAATAGGTGAGAATCTAAAGCTATAATATATTAAGTTAAAGGACTAAGACAAAAACAAAGAGGGAAAGGAATTGCTGAATTAACCAACTGAACTGGAATACAAAAAAAGGGAGGTGAGAGGAGGTCGGGGAAGCAAGGAAATGAAATGTAAGATACAGAAGGATTAATTTGTTTTTAAGTGGTTTTTTTATTTTTTTTCTGTACTTTGTATTTTGTATGTTTTTTCTCTTTTTTATTTTTTCCCTTGTTTCTTTTCTCTTTAACTATGTAATTTTTTGTTTCTGAAATTTTAATAAATATCATTTAAAAAAAAACAAAACATGGAGGGTGAAGAAGACCGTCTGTGCCTCCTGCCCGGTGCAGGGGATGCGGTGAGGACCCCTCAATATTGGGGGGGCTTCACCCCTTCCCCACAAATATTGAGGGGGCTGAAGCCCCTTCCCCCCCTATAGTTGGCGCCCCTGGGTAGAGTCTGGGAATGTGTGTGACCCTCACTCTGTTTTAACCCAATGTTTATATATATATATGTTTTTTAACATATCATTTTCAACAGTAATTAAACATACTTTTACATCTTATTCATTTTTTTTGACTTCCATCAGTCCTGTCTGAAAATTTTCCAATCTAATCTCTTAGTATGCATTTCTTACTTTCCCTATTACATTTCAAACTCATAACCAATATCTCTATCTTTTCCTACTTTGTAACACTTCATATGTTTCTCCTTACAAAACTTATTGTAGTCCTTCTAGCGTAATTTGTTTTACAGTTGCTCTTCTAGTAATTCATATACTTCTTCCAGTCTTCTGTAAATCTCTAGTCCCTCAGGTTTCGAATCCTTCCTGTCATTTTGTCCAATTCTGCATAGTCCATTAATTTCATCTGCCATTCTTCTTTCATCGGAATTTCCTCTTGCTTCCATTTCTGGCCTAACAATACTCTCGCCGCTGTTGTTGCATATAAGAACAGTTTGACAGCTTGTCTATTAATGTCTTGGCCTATAATACCAAGTAAAAATGCTTCTGGTTTTTTTAAGAGTTTAACCCGATGTTTTAACCCTTCTTTTTCAAGCTGAGGGGCACCCAAGCTTCCAACACTCCCCATCACTGAAGAATGGCCTAAAATGTGTTCTCTCTCCCTTTTGAAAATAAGATCTGCTTGATCAGGTCAAAGGCTCATCAAGTCCAGCTTCCTCTTCTCACTGGGGCCTACTAGGTGCCTACAAGAAGCCCAGAAGCAGGAAATGTACTGATTTGAGAGGAGCGGCGAAAGCAAAAAGCAAATCTGGATCATAGCTGTCAACTTACAGATTTGAAAATAAGGGACCAGCAGCCTCGAAAATAAGGGATCAGCAGCCAAAATAAGGGATTTTGCTTAGCTTATACATAAATCCAGCACAGATGAAGCCATGCTGCTTTGGCTGCCACTGACTGTGTTTTGCAAGGGGTTGGACTAGATGATCCTAAGGGTCTACAACTCCAACCAAAGAAGAGGGGCAGACAAAACTGATGAACGACGTCGAGATGGCAAAGCTTACAGGCAGAATTAGAAACCAGGAAGAGGACCTCTTTAATAAAGAATGGGGAAAGTTAATAATTTATTTGAAAAGCTATTGTCAAGAGTTACATACATTGGTAGGATTGACAGAAAACTCGTAGTAAAAATTTGAACTATGGATGGACAGATGATTTATAAAAATAGAGTTATGAAAGGGATGCAGAGGGGGAAATCACTACATTAAGATGCTGCACTGGTTGGAGGGTATGCTAAGCAGCACATTGGGGCTGCCATCGTCCTGGTGCAAGGAGTTCCATCGGCCCTTCCTTGCCTGAGAGGGAGGGAGGGAGGGAGACTTTTGCCCATGCTGTCCGCGAGCCCGGCATGAGGCGGTTGCGGCGCGGCGGCTGCCCTGAAGTGCCGCCCTTCTGCGTCCCTCCCCATCTCCTCCTCTTCCTCCTCCCTCAGGCCGCCTCCTCAGACGCCGCTGCCACTGCTGCCTCCGGCTTCCCCTGGCAGCGCGGTGGAAGTCTCGCAAGAGAGGGGCTGCCTGCCCATCCGCCGCCACCTGTCTCCTCACAACACGCCCCTGAGGAGGAAAAGGGAGAGACGGAGACGCGGCAGCTCGTGCACGTGCTCTCTCTCACGGCGGAGGACCCCGAGCTGCTGCTTCCCTCCTGAGCTGGGCGAGCATGAAACCCGGGAAATTTAAGGGACATCATCAATAAGGGACAGCAGCGGGACATGGCGCTGGGATAAAGGAGTTTCCCGCCAAATAAGGGACAGTTGACAGCTATGATCTGGATACCTTTTATGGATCTTTTACATAGCAGAGAATCTGCTCTGGCCATGAACTAGCTTTAAAGGCTTTGTGCTTTTCAACCTGCGATGATGCTTTGGGGCTCTCTATGATCTTTCTTTGCCAATTCTAGCATGCGGACCAACGTCTAAGCTCCTTGGAAGATGCAAGGAAACCGAACAATGTGTAGCTTCCTCCAGTAAAACATACCACCAGCAGTCACCCCAGTCTTCGAGGAAGGAACAAGGCCATGTCTATATTAGGACCTTCCTGTGCCTGCTGTTAATGCCAAGGTCACTTTGTCAGCTGACACTTGTGCTTTTAGGTGGGGTGGGTAGGAAATGGTATGGGGGGGTCAGGGAAGGGTTAGCTGTACTGTGAAGGGAAACCACAAGATGTCAGGAGGTTGCTGTGATCACTTCCTCAGTCAGACCATGATGAGGAAATGAGACTTTTTGCCCTAATAATCTCTCGGAGTGTGTGTCTGCATACATGCCATACATTAAAAGTACACCCCCCCTCCAAAGAACCTTTGGAACTTGTAGTTTACTCAAAGAACTACAATTCCCAGCACCTTCAACAAACTACGATTCCCCGGATATGCTTTAAATGTACAGTGGTACCTTGGGTTAAGAATTTAATTCGTTCTGGAGGTCTGTTCTTAACCTGAAACTGTTCTTAACCTGAAGCACCGCTTTAGCTAATGGGGCCTCCTGCTGCCGCCGCATGATTTCTGTTCTCATCCTGAAGCAAAGTTCTTAACCTGAGGTAATATTTCTGGGTTAGCGGAGTCTGTAACCTAAAGCGTATGTAACCTATAAGCAACACAATCCCACAACATCTGGACTCAGGCTGCAATCCTATGCCCGGTTCCTCGGGAGTTAAGCACCAATGAAGCCATTGGCATTTGCGTTTGAGTAGATGCATACGGGCCTGAGCTATAAAGTTGCCACAAAAATATTGAGGGGCAGGCATGCTATTTAAAGGTAAAGGTAAAGGGACCCCTGACAGTTAAGTCCATTCGCAAACGACTCTGGGGTTGCGGTGCTCATCTTGCTTTACTGGCTGAGGGAGCTGACGTTTGTCCGCAGACAGTTTTTCCGGGTCATGTGGCCAGCATGACTAAGCCGCTTCTGGCGAAACCAGAGCAGCGCACAGAAACGCCGTTATTTATGGAAACGCATGCTATTTACTTCACCCAAATCCTTTATTTTTTTCAGATACCCTCTCAAAAGCCTACCTTTTCCAGGCAGCCTCTGGTAGCACGACTCCTTAAATGTTATTTGTTTGCTGTTTGGAGAACTTTTTTGATCAAGCTGTCTATAAATTTTCTAAATAAATACCTAGTTCTTGCACCATACTATTGTAACTCCGCCTGTAACCAGAGCTCAGCATTTAGGATTGTACACAGCCCACCCAATCCGATCCAGGAGATTCAGGGTCGACCTGACGTGGATCCAGGCCCTGAATTAATTTGGGTTTTTATGCTTAATTAGGGTTTTAAGCCCTAATTAAATGTGATCAAGAGGCGGGTGGGGGAAGACAGAGACCCTGTGTCCCATCCTTCTGGGTGCTGCTTCACCAATGTGTTCTCTGTGGAGTTCTTTTGGAGAAGTCATGTGTCTTAAATGTGCACAGAATATGCTTTAAATGTATGCTGTGGATCTGCTTGTCATAAACTCCCCGCAAACAAATCTGAATGAATGCTCAATAAATAGAGGAAGGCGTCTAACCTCTCCGCAAACTTTGTACAAACTGGTCAGGACGAATGCTCAATAAAGGGGCAACCATTCATTAAGGCTCTGTGTTGCCCACCAGGAGCTTGGTTTATTACCGTATTTTTCGCTCCATAGGACGCACTTTTTCCCCTCCAAAAATGAAGGGGAAATGTGTGTGCGTCCTATGGAGCGAATGCAGGCTTTCCTGAAGCCTGGAGAGCGAGAGGCATCGGTGCGCACCGACCCCTCTCGCTCTCCAGGCTTCAGGAAACTATCCGCAAGCCTTGCAAGCCCGGTGGGAGTTCCCGCGGGCTCACAAGGCTTGCAGGCAGCAGCCTGCAGCCCCGGCGAGTGTCTGCAAGCCTTGCGCGCCCGGCAGGAGGTCCCGCCGAGCGCGCGAGGCTTGGGGCGGCAGCCTGTCGCCCGAAGCACGGGGCACCCTCCGGAGGGCTCCGCGTGCTTCGGGCGAGTGTCTGCAAGCCTTGTGCGACCGGCAGGAGGTCCCGCCGAGCGGGCGAGCCTTGGGGCGGCCGCCTGTCGCCCGAAGCACGGGGAGCCCTCCGGAGGGCTCCCCGTGCTTCGGGCGAGTGTCTGCAAGCCTTGCGCGCCCGGCAGGAGGTCCCGCTGAGCGCGCGAGGCTTGGGGCGGTAGCCTGCAGCCCGAAGCACGCGAGGCTTGGGGCGGCAGCCGCGGCGGGGGGGGGGAATAATTTTTTTTATTCATTTCCCCCCCCAAAAAACGAGGTGCGTCCTATGGGCCGGTGTGCCCTATAGAACGAAAAATACGGTAGTCCTTTTAATGTGTCTGTTAATTGCACTCCTCCACTCTTGCAATGTAGACACGCCCCTCCTATGCTCTTGGGAAAGTACTTTTTCTGAGCTAAGCCTGGGCTCCGTCGTAGGGACTCTTCTCTTTAGAGTGAGGTGTCTCTGAGTGTGTAAGCGCCATACATCTGAACAGTGTCCCCCGCCCCCCCCCCAAAATGTTTAGGGATACTCTCAGAGCCGGATTTAGGTTTGATGAGGCCCTAAGCTACTGAAGGTAATGGGGCCCTTTATATGTCCAGCTGTCCTTTGTCAACAACAAATTGTCACTGTTTTTTGTGTTGAATATATGCTATATGGTCATTTATGTTGCCATGCAACCAGTCCATGCAGAATGTAGGCACCCTATATATAGAAATGAGCAAATCAGTGATATTTTAGGGAGCAGGCTAGCAGGCAGGGTCCGTTATTTACATCATAGGAGCCTACACAACACAAAACAAAACACTGTTGCTGTATGTAGATTTTATTTTATTTGTTTTTTATCTTATATTTTGGAAATGTACATCCAGTTGTTTTTTCCTTTAATTTTTTGGGGGCCCTAAGAGAGTGGGGCCCTAAGCTATAGCTTGTTTAGATAACACGTAAATTCGGCACTGGGTACTCTCGTTATCCTACTCATATTGAAATACTGCCACTCGGTGAGGCCAAACTTAGATTCACAAAATGTTTAGGGGTGTGTGTCCCCCCTGCGTCGTCCCCCCAGAAAAAAGCACTGCATCTGAAACACATTTCATTTATTCATCCATAATTTTACTTGTATGTCACTTTTCCACACACAACCATTATGCTCAAAGCGGCTTACATCAAAGAAAGCAGGAATTCATTTTGAGAGTCAAACAGAATAGAATTAGAATAGAATTTATTATTTTTACCCCACCCATCTGGCTGGGTTTCCCCAGCCACTCTGGGTGGCTTCCAACAAAGTATTAAAATACAGTGGTCTGTTAAACATTAAAAGCTTCCCTAAACAGGGCTGCCTTCAGATGTCTTCTAAAAGTCTGGTAGTAGTTCTTCTCCTTGACATCTGGTGGGAGGGCGTTCCACAGGGCGGGCGCCACTACCGAGAAGGCCCTCTGCCTGGTTCCCTGTAACTTGGCTTCTTGCAGCGAGGGAACCGCCAGAAGGCCCTTCTGGGCAGAACGATGGAGGTGGAGACGCTCCTTCAGATATACTGGGCCAAGGCTGTTTAGGGCTTTAAAGGTCAGCACCAACACTTTGAATTGTGCTCGGAAACATACTGGGAGCCAATGTACAGTGCAAAAAACAAAACAAAACA